TTGACTTTTTTTGGAATTTTCCCGCGGTCGCTCAGCAGTGGAGCCGGCGCGCCCGCAGTGCACTCTGGGGCCTGGCGAGCGGCCCCCCGCCCCCCGCGGCATCGCGGGAAAATTCCGACGAATCTCGGGCTCGAGCGGGCGGGGCGGAGCCTGTCACCGGCGCGGCGGAAGTCGCCGGCGGGCGGGCTCCCGGACGGCGCGGTGGGCAAACTGTGGCAGCTTCCGTCTAACTCTGCTTCCTCTCTGGTCGAGTCGTGGGTGACCCCCGGAGGAAAAACCCGGGGGCTTTTAATCGGGTTATTGCCCAATTATTTCAACGCTGTCTTCGCAATGCAGGGGAGGTGAAATGGAAATTGGATTTTTTTTTTTAAGAAAAATTGAGTGTGTGTTAAGGGGATAACACCACCAAACAAGGCCTAGAATATGGTTTCTAGCTGTGGTCACACACACAAAAGGAATCCTTGAGTTAATGACACCCCTCTCCCTGCTGCCAATCAGTTGCATACAGTGTTTGATTCCGGTTCAAATCAGTTCAAAACTGAATTTAAACCACTTAACTGGAAAGCAGCATTTTGTGTAAACTTCATTCATGGTAATAGTATTAGCTTGTCTTGGTGAATTTTTTATTCTAGAAATTATCAGTGCATAAGATTTTTCTTAGATGTTGAAATTGTAAAGTAATTTGAGGAGCCTAACCTTCAGTTTCAATTTTTTTAAAAAATCAATGCCTCATAGTCATAAATCTACAACTTAAGGAGTGCTTTCAAAAAAACTTTACAAGGCGGTGTAAGCACGTAATAAAAAGAGTCAAACACTTCCAGCCTTCTAAAATGAAGGAATACCCATTTTACCAAAGAGTAAATTGAATTCAGGAATTAGGGAATTTACCAAGGTAGACATTATAAAAGGATCCCAATCCAGAGAAAATTGTTAGGATCTGCAACTGCATTAAGGAATCAGTATTAAACTCATTCTTGAAAACATTCCTTGGCAACTAAAGAGGTCTGTGCTTTTTTGGTGTGTGCATAGTTCAGTGTGGGCCAGTGTAGAGAGTTACATGCATGAGTAACGCTCATCTTGGCCCTTGGCCGTAAGAAGGAAGTCATTGTGTTTGTGGGGATAAATTTGAGCAATTTAATAATTAAGTCTTGCATTTACCAGCAAAGGAAGGAATTGAACCCTGTGTTTCATTAGAGAAAATATCTATTTTAGTATTCAGGTCCTTTTACATATTTTCTGAAAAAATCCTTTCTAGTGCTGGAGTGTAGTTATAGTTGAGGTCTTCCCATTTTGCGGGTTTTATGTCTTTTTCATTCAGTGGGTCGCAAAGAGTTGCTAGGCTCACTCAACTTTATAGTAAATGAAAGGACAACATATTTACACCTAATTTAGACCTACATGGGTAGCACATATAGGATAAGTATTCAACTGTAATTTTATGGAGATTTATAGACATTCATTTCATCTGGTATCCATATGTATGGTGCTATCCTAACACTTTATACAGTAATTAGATGATCTCCCTTTAAAATTCTTGAAAAGTTTCCTGAGAAACAAAACGTAGATACAAATCCTATTTTTAATTGGCTTATGAAGTTGACTATTTGTGCCTCTAGAAAGTTTTCATAGTATAAAGTCCAATCACATTTAAATAATGTGGCAAAAATGAAAAATGGCATGTGTACGTGAAAATTACTTCATTTTTTTAAAATTATTGATTATGATATCACATAATTGTCCTCATCCCCCCATTCCCATCCCAAACCCCTCCCCACGTATGCCCTCACTCCCCTGTTGTCCGTGACCACTGGTTAGGCTTATATGCATGCATACAAGTCCTTTGGTTGATCTCTCCCCCTTCCCCCCACCCTCCCCTGCTTTCCCTCTGAGGTTTGACAGTCTGATTGATGCTTCCCTGTCTCTGGGTCTGTTTTTGTTCATCAGTTTATGTTGTTCATTATTTCCCCTAGATGCGTGAGATCATATGATACAAGAAATACACTTATAAGAACCAAAAATGAGACAAGCCATAATGGTTATGCTGAGAGGCAAATGAATCAGTCTGTAGTGAGTTTCTTTCTGGGCCAACAGTTCTTTTGAGTCCCAATTTCAATGTCAAACAGTTCCTTCTGTGTACATGTCAGCAATGATATTTCAGTTCTGGATAGTGGACAAATGGTGGTGATGCAGGTCCGACCATCTCTGGTTTGGTCCTGGGCATCCTTCAGCGAAGCACAGCTGCTGTCTGCTAGTATGGCAAGGCGTCATCAGCGTCTTCCATCTCTGGACTGCTTCTCTTCTGTCTTCATGGCTGGAGTAGTCCTGTCAATTCCTCTCTGTTGCCGGAATCCACATGGTCTCGGAGTTGTTTTCTGAAAATATACAGACATATTCTTGACCAAAGGTTAATAAAGGAATATTTTCTATAAATTTGACTTGGGATCCTTTTTTATTTTTTGCCCAAACAATTTCCTTTGGCTTGTTTTGACACCTTGTGTGTTTTTCATGGGTGTCTTGAGCTGCCGAGTGGTGCACCTTTGGAGGTGGAGGTCCCAGGGTCCGCGGGTCTGCAGCTGGGGTAGCAGGATATTGGCTGGAGTGGGTGCTGGGTCGCGGGGCAGTTCCAAGGCCTGTCTGGTTGGTGGTGTTGATGAGTTTCTAAAAAAGGCCGTTCTCCCCTTCAAGATGGCGTGGGCTCCGTGCTGGAGTCCCGCCGTCCGGGGAGTGCTCGCAGCGGTGGTAGTCTCTCCTTGTCAAGAAGAGCCTGTCTGCCAGCCTCTGCTGCTCCTGCGAGATTTAACTTTCCCTCACTCACTCACACACACCCCACGCACATCCACACACACTCCTTTCATACCCTCACTCACTTCCTCTCTCAGCTCCGTCCTGCCAGCCGCCATCTTTTTTCCTTCTCAAAATTACTTCATCTTTAGAAAGAATTAGAATCCATTCTAATGGAATCCATCACTAGAATCTTTACATTCTAGTGGGGAAAACACCACAGCTGAGTGCTGCAGAGTTCCCGACAGTATCAAATCTTCAGAATTCAACAAACAAATAAAATCAGCTGTCTTGGATTCTAGCCATTGCAGTAAGACTCATGTTCCCAGAATTACTCCAGATACCAACCTAGTTTCCAACTGTCATTTCAAGAATTAATCCTAACACCCACCTAGTTTCTAGTTGGCACCCCAACACTTAACACTGTCTTGTCCATGGCTCTAATATTGACCTCTGGTTTCTCAACTGTGAATATTTAATGAGTGTTTATTAAGTCTCAGGTACTTAGCTGACTCCTTGACCAGATTATTTAATTCTCACAGTGATCTTACGTATATGGTAGATAATATTCCAGTTTCACAGATAAAGAAACTGATACACAGAGCAAACTCTACTAGTAGATATTGTACCTCCAAATCCAGGCTAATTGACTCTGGGGCTTGTACTTCTTGACCACATGCTATGCTCTTGCTCATGCTCCAGGCTAGGTACCAGACCACTTCCCAAGTTCTTGGTAGGATAGCAGTGAGGATGGGGTGATGTGATCCCAGAGTCTTATGCATTTTAACTACTACTCTGCTTTCCTCTTAATACATGCTGACTAAGGAAATGTACATTTAATTAGAGAAGAAAACAAGAGTAATATTTGTGCATGAAATGCTTTAAGAAATAGTGCGAGTCATAGTGAAGGTCTTTGATCTGAGGTCAGGAAACAGAGGGCTGCCCAAGATGAAAATTAATGGAAAAAGGGAAATGTTGCAGGTATCGCTCCCTCTCCCCACATGCTCGCTCCCTGGGCTCTCTGGAATAATGCCTATTTGGAAGACATGTCTGTACTAATCATCCCGCTCCATGCCACAGCTACTTAAACCAGGAATGGTAACCTGACCCTTGGTAAACCAATCAATCTATTGTTGGGGAATTTGGAATTGAAACCCTGAGAAACTGTACCCCACAAGAGCTAAACTCTCGTGCCAGCCAAAGTTACTGAGGGAAAAATATAACAATAAAAGTTGATTGGCAGAGGAAAGCAAAAAAGAAGTTGAAAGAAAGGCCATGTATTCATGAGAGATAGAGGGTAGCTATTTTTAAGCATAATTTTAAGGCAACCGGACTCTACTTATTTTTTTGGTTCTCAGTTGTACACAGGATTCTCCCAAGTCCTCACAACAATCACCTCTTTACCTATTCTGACTTCAATGAGTTTCTCTACCTTACTGCAAAGCAAGCAAGCCCTGACTAAGGACCTGGAGGTAGCATCAATTTTTTTGTGTCACTGGGCATTAACACTCGGTCTGAGCCTTCTTGGTACACTAATCAATGGATACCTAGTGAGAACCTTTCAAGCAGAAGGCATGAAGCATATAGGCTGTGTTGATACAGATCCATCTGAGTATCTTGGAGTTGGGAGAAACCTGACAGGTCCAGGAGTTCCCTAGATTTGGGGATTGTTGGGCCATAAAATATACATAATATTAGAGGACTAGCAGTTAACTTTTTATTGTCAAGTAAAGACTTTGAGGGGAGGGGTCTACCATCATTTCAATTTAAAAAAAATTTTTTTTAACTTTAAGAAAAGATGGGGAGAGTCAAAGAACAATCTTGTAAATTAGGTAAATTTTGCTGTACAAAAAACTGATTACAATGTCCTTATTAATTTCTTGTTACCGCTTCCTCCCTTGGTGAGTATTTACTTACCAAGGCAATGTGCCCAACAAAAAGACTGCAGTTCCCAGACTGCCTTGCTATCAGGGATGGCACTGTAAGTTGTAACCAATGAGAGATAAGTGGAAGCTGTTGGGTGGGACTTTCAGAAAGGCTTCTTAAAAGGTAGAAAGGCAATAGGCAAGGAGCTTTTTAACCCTTTCCCCTTTCTACTGCTTCCTACTGTAAGGACAAGATGGTTGTAGTTCAGTTATCTTAGACTATAAGGTACCCTCAAGGATGATGGTCATAGAATAAGGATGGCAGAGCAAAAGAAGTAGAAGGTGGCCTAGCTAGTTTTGCTCAGTGGATAGAACATCAGCCTGTAAACTGAAGGGTTCCGGGTTCGATTCTGGTCAAGAACACAAACCTAGGTTGCAGGCTCAATCCCATGCCCTGATCTGGACCCAGGCGGGAGGCAACCAATTGATGTAATTGATGTGTCTCTCTCACATCGATGTTTCTCTCTCTCTCTCTCTCTCTCTCTCTCTCTCTCTCTCTCTCTCTCCTTCCCTTCCACTCTTTCTAAAAATCAATGGAAATATATCCTCGGGTGAGGATTAACACCACAACAAAAAGAAGTAGAAGGTCCCTGGTTCCCCAATAATCACAGGAGTTACCTGGTTTGCCTAACTCTGGACTTCTTTTACAATAAACAAAATCTGTTTCAACTACTTTTGTCTTAGACCTCTGTTGTTAAGCAGCTGAGGCACTATAGTAAGGTCTGGGCTACTGTGGTGGAAAAAAAAAAAGGAAAAAGTGTTCTCTGCTCTTGTGAAGATTACTCTAGTGAAGGGAATCTTCCTTAACATCTTCTCTTCCAACAGCATAGCTCAAAACATATATACTTGTCAAAAGGAGATAAACTCAATAGAGCTGTAAGTTTCATTAAAAATTGGGGGGGGGGGGGACCTAAACCACACACCAAGACACAGGAAGACAGGAAACTCTCTTATCCACCTACTAAAATTCTGTGAATATTGTAGAATGGAGAAACAACTCTCTCATTGTGCAATCTCTAACACAGAACTCCCAGAAAACAAAAATCTGTCCTTTTTCCATTGAGCAATGATACACTCTGTGTGTGTGTGTTTTTCATTGTTAAGGCAATTTTAGTCTAATTTTCTTTAGTTCAATAAAAAAAATGTATTCCTATTTAGAGCATGCATGCATTCCCACCAATGGTGGTGTGTTGTAACTAATATAGCACATTTTTATTGCCTGCAGAAAGTAATAAATTACATTTAAATGAGCACATGCCTTAAAAATAATTTTCCTCATAAGTATTTTATAATCATTAATTTAGCATAAAATCAATATTAAAGAACTGCTAAGATTAAGCACTAAAAATTCCAAATTAAGAGAAATTATGCACATTTATAATTAAATTAATGCTGGCAATTATTAAGTCAAAAATAAGTTTTTAAGTTTTATCCCCTTCGTATGTCTGTTTCAGATTGACTCTTTAATTGCCTAGTGTTTTCCAATAAAAACTATTTAACTGCATCTTTTTATTTATTCATGTGCTAAATTAAGGTTTAAGTACACTCAATCATACAATAAAACAACTGCTTGGGGTGGGGAAATAGGGAGATGTTGGTCAAAGGGTACAAATTTCCAGTTATAAGATGAATAAGTTCTGGGGATCTAATGTACAGCATGGTGATTATAGTTAACAGTACTCTATTGTATACTTGAAAGTTGCTAAGAAAGTAAATCTTAAATGTTCTCAAACACACAAAAATAAAGATAATTGTGTGAGGTGATTGATCTCTTAACAAACCTAATGTAGTAATCATCACATTATACATTTTAAACTTACATAATGTCATTTGTCAATTATATCGCAATAAAGCAAGAAAAAACCTGCTTGATGATAATAGAACTTCAAATATGGCACCAGCAAGTTTATCTATAATAATAAAAGTATAATATGCTAATTAGACCAGACGTCCTTCCGGACGAAGCCAGGGCTGCGAGGGAAGCCCAAGTCCCAGGTACCTGCTGGCGGCCGGAGGGAAGCCCAGGTGCCAGAGGGAAGCCGGTGCCAGCAGCCGGGCGAAGGAAGGCCTACTCTTGCACGAATTTCATGCATCGGGCCTCTAGTATATTATACTTCTACTAGAGGCCCGGTGCACGAAAATTTGTGCACTGGGTGGTGGGGTCCCCTCAGCCCAGCCTGCCCCCTCTCACAGTCCGGGAGCCCTCAGGGGATGTTCTATCTGTGAGAGGTGACTGGCCGATCAGGGGAAGGTGCTGCTCCCATCACCCCACCGCTGCTGTTGCTGCCGGCCACCATGGCAGCTGCCTGCCTTCGGCCCTCGCAGCCACTGCAGCTTTGTCCGGAAAAACATTTGGCTGTCCAGTCTAATTAGCATATTATGCTATTACTAGTAGCCCATTTGCAGGATTCAATCCTGCAAGCGGCCGCTTCAGCCGCGTGCACTGCTGCTGCCGCAGCCTTGGGGCCACCACACCTGCACCCGCGCGCCACTGCCGCCTGCCTTGCTCCGCCCCGCCCCGCCCCGCTCCGCCCCGCCCTGCTCCGCCGCACCCCGCCCTGATGGCGGGTGGCCAGTGGAAAACTGCTGCTGGCGGAAAACTGGTGCCGGCAGCCACGCAATTGGCCACCCCGAGTTCCGCCACCAGCATCTTCCGCCGTTTAGGCTGGCGGTAGGAGCGGGGGGCGGGGACTCGAGTCCCCGCCCCCCGCTCCTACCGCCAGCCAATCGGCCACCCTGAGTCCCGCCCCCCGCGCCTCCAGCCGGCCCAATCGTGGGCATAGCGGAGTGATGCAATTTGCATATTGCCTTTTTATTATGTACGATTATTATAGACTAGAGGTCCAGTGCACAAATTCATACACGGGCCAGGTCCCTTGGCCTGGCCAGCAATCAGGGCTGATTGGGGCCGTGGGAGGTTGGCCAGCTGGGGGGAGGGGCCGTGGAAGGTTGGCTGTGGGAACACTCTGACCACCAGGGGGCAGCTCCTGCATTGAATGTCTGCCTCCTGGTGATCAGTGCGCATCATAATGACTGGTCATTCTGTTGTTGGGTCCCTTAGGCTTTTATATATATATAGAAGATGCATTACCTATGGACACCTACAATAGGGTGGTGAAGGCCTGGGGCAGGGCGGGAAATGGGTGGAGAGGGATAATGGGGGGAAGGGGGACATCTGTAATACTCTCAATAAAAACATTTTTTTTAAAAGATTCAAGATCTGCAAGGGCAAGCAAAGGAAACTAACATTTAGTGAGCCCCTTCTATGTGTCAGGCATTTTGCCAAGCAGATCATATGTATTGTCCCATTTAATTTACTTTCTGTGACATAATCTCATCACATGTAAGTGTAATAAAAATGTTACATTTCGTATATAAGCCAATTGAGATTTAATGTATCAGAAGAAATCATTTTAACTAAAATGAATTCAGCACAGCAAGTGACAAAGTATCATTAATAGAAAACTACTTCCCTTTGTTTATTTTGGGGACTCTTAGAACTTCAGAGGCTTTTATGCTTCTTGCCTTCTGTATCTCTTTGTCTTTTGCATTAGTTTCCTATTGCTACAATAATAAATTACCACAAACAATGGCTTAAAACAACAAAAATTTATTATCTTGTACTTCTGGAGTTCAGAAGTTCCAAATAGTTTCAGTGGACTAAAATCAAGGTGTCAATAGGATTGTGTCCTTTCTTGGAGTCCTAGGGGATAATTCATTTTCTTGCCTTTTCTAGCTTCCGGAGGCTGCCTGCATTCCTTGGCTCATGGCCCCATCCTCCAATTTCTCCCTCTATAACTTTGATACTCCTGCCTCCCTCTTATAAAGACCCTAATGATTACATTGTGCCACCCATATAATTCAGGATAATCCCCCATCTCAGAATCTATAATCACATCTGTAAAGTCTTTTTTGCCATTATAAGGTAACATACTCACAAATTCCAGAGATTGGGACATAACACCTGGCAGGGATAGAAAGGCAAGGTCATTATTCAGTTTACTACACCCTAGCTGTTTATTTAAGTACTAGAGGCCAGGTGCACAGATTTGTGCACTGGTGGGGTCCCTTGGCCTGGCCTGCATGTTCTCGAAATCTGGGACCCCATCAGGGGATGTTGGACTGCCAGTTTTGGCCTGATCTCCACAAGCCAGGCCAACGGACCCCTAGTATGCCTCTAGTATGCATATAAGATCTTTGGTTAATCTCTTCCTGCCCTCCCCCCTTCCCCTTTCCCTCTGAGATTCATCAGTCTGTTCCATGTTTCCATGCCTGTGTGTTGAGCATCTGTCCCCTGGTGGTCAGTGCATGTCATAGCTACCAGTCAAATGCTCGAATGGTCACTTAGGCTTTTATATATATAGATATTTTCATGAGTTCATTTTTAGATATTGATTCATAATACCATTTGAATATTGTTTCTATAGTATTGAAACTACTTTTAGAAAACCTTTTTCTTTCTGAAAGAACTCTTTTATCATTATTAAATTTTTTCAATTACAGTTGGCATGCAATATATTAGTTTGAGGTATAAATCCCAGTGATTAGGCATTATAAAAGTTATTAAATGATCATCCTAAAAAATCTCATACCCATCTGACACCATACGTAATTATTACAATATTATTGATTATATTCCCTATGCTGTACTTTACACCCCCATGACTACACTATAACTACTAATTTGTACTTCTAAGCCCCTTCACCTTTTTCCATTCCTCTCCATCCCCCTTCCCATCTGGCAATCGTCAAAATGTTCTCTCTATCTCTGAGTCTGGTTCTGTTCTGCTTGTTCATTTATTTTGATTTTTAGATTCAATTGTTGATAGATATGTATTTATTGCCATTTATTATTCATATTCTTTTTCTCCCCCTTTCCCCCTCCTCCTTTATCTCCTCCTCCTCGTTTGGTGGTGATGAACTCCTTTAGCTTTTCTTTGTCTGGGAGGCTCTTTATCTGACCTTCAATTCTAAATTATAGCTTGGTTGTAGTTCCTTGCTTTTCATCACTTTAAATATTTTTTGCCACTCTTTTCTGACCTGCAAAGTTTCTGTTGAGAAATCAGCTGACAGTCCTATGAAACTTGTAGGTAACTAACTGCTTTCCTCTTGCTGCTTTTTTTTTTTTAATCCTCACCTAAGGATATCCCCTCCATTGATTTCTAGAGAGAGTGGAAGGGAGGTAGGAGGGGGAGAGAGACAGAGAGAAACATCGATGTGAGAGACACATTGACTGGCCACCTCCCGACACGCCCCTATCAAATGGACACTGGGCCAGCAGGCTAGAAGAGAGAACTCCCATGCACTTGTCACTCAACACACAGTATTGACCCCAAGGGGAGGAGACATATCTTGCCTTAGCA